AATGGAACTTCTAAGAACTTTCTCTAATGACATAACTTCAAACCTGTGAATACACTAACACAACACTAGCATTTTAAATTAGTCAGAACTAACAAAATGCACAAAGCCAGGACAATAAAATAAACTACTTGTGTTTACATTCAAGCGTATATCCAAAGCTACAAAAGTAAGGGAGGTCTGTATAAGATAGGAAGCAATTTCCAGGGCATAATACACAGATTTTTAAAAAGGACCCAGTTATAGCAAAAATTTTTTGTGTACAAAAGGGAAAATGACAAATAATTCTATTTTAGCAAAAAAAATTGAAAAGGCAAATTATAATGGAACTAGTTAATGACAATAGGTGGTCAGAAATGGGTAAGGAAGATCTGAGTGTATGTTCAATGGCTCAGAATTTAAGAAACATGTTAAAATTTTACATATCCAAAAATAAAACCAAACCCTAGAGAAAAAAAATATGCTGAGGGAATTACTGGGAACAACTGCTTCTGAGCAGTCTGTAAACTGCAGACCCAATATGCCATGGTTATAAGAAGGAAAATCCTTGCTTCCTGAGAACATCCATATGGACGTGAGGGAAAGTAAGTTCAGAGTTACAACCTGCTCTGCAAAGATCAAAGATAAGTCATACATGCACCCATATATCTATGGAGAAGTCATATATGCACCTATGCATGGATAGAGCTGCAGATAAGTCAGATACATCTATGTATGCACCGATATATCTGTGGAGAAATCATACACGCACCTATGCATGGGTATATCTGTAATACTCATATATAGTAAAATGGAAAAAAATAAGTTAAATTTAAATGAGGGAGTAAGTTACTTATTTCCACCAATTTTCTATAAAATAAACATTTCAGAAATTTTAGGGGTAAAGTATAACTTAGGGGTAGAGTCTGTAGTGGACCCCGAGCTCCATCCCTAACGAAACCAGAGTTTCTTAAAACTATTGTGTGCAATTAAAGCACCAGTGCAAAGCTTAGGGATCAACCGAGATGCCAAGACACTAGGGTGAGGGACAGGCTACTTTGTTCATTTTAGATAAGCACTTAGGTAAAACACATACCTTCATTTCCTGGATCAGATTCAAGAAAAAAGCAGTGTGAGTCTCACCCTACTAACTATGCCCTTATTTATTTATATATTCCCTGGCTCTAGAAAAACGTGCTGAGTTAGCGATCTACCACCACTTCAAACACATTAACAAGAAGAGGGCATTTTAAAAAGTGTGGCATGGAATATACTGCCTTTTAAACAGGTTTAACAAACTTGAAACTAAACAGGCCTTGTTAAAAAGGACTTAAGCAGCTACCTGGGCTGCACACAGCTAACAAAACAGAGCCACCCCATGCCCCACTGCCTGCTACTCAACTGTACAATGTCCAGGACCCTTTAAAAACTGCCTTCAAGCCAGGCGTTGGTGGCTTACACCTTTAATCCCAGCACTCGGGAGGCAGAGGCAGGTGGATCTCTGTGAGTTCGAGGCCAGCCTGGTCTCCAGAGCAAATGCCAGGATAGGCTCCAAAGCTACACAGAGAAACCCTGTCTCGAAAAACCAAAA